CCCTCCCCCCACCCCTTGTCCCCGCATGTCCCAGCCTCACCCCCCACCCTCTCACCTTCAGGTACCAGAACTTCACCAGCCGCAGGAGGTTTTTCAGTTTAATAGGGCGCATTTTCACAAAGTCCCTCTGTAAGACTGTGAAGCTTGCTGAGAACTCCCCGGGATGGCTGCAGCTGTTTACTAAATCTTCATAGATTTGTGGTGCTGGTTTACAGTTCAGGCAAAGGGATCCTGGGAGGAGAAATGCACTTGGTCAGGGCAATCTACTCTTTGAGGTGAAGAAGATGAGGTGGAGTCTAACGAACATAGTACATTTATAAACTATTTCAGGCAATTACCCTTCTCAATTTATAGCTAGACAAATAAAGGCGTAAATGGTTTGGTAACACATCAAAGGTCACATGAATTTAAAATAACTCACACTGACCAAAAACATAATATGTCAGGCACTGGGCTAAACTCGGGGAATCCTCAGAACAACAGTTCTATGAAGTAGGTAAATTGAAGCAGAACTTAAGACATTGCTATTTTTTGCGGGCAAAACATGGCCAGATGGTTTCCTATGGCTCCACCCAGATTTGAGATTGTCCCATTTGACAAGTTGATATTCTCAGACCTGGAGGTATGTTATTGTTTGTGTCTAGAATGTTCCTCAAAAGCACTTATGCTGAAGTCTTGGTTCCTAATGCAGCAATTTTCAGAGGTGGGGCTTTTGGAAGGGGATCAGATCATAAGGGATCTAATTTCATCAGACTGATTCATAATTTGACCGCATTATTGGGAGGTGACAAAACTTAGGGGATGACGCCTAGCTGAAGGGAATCGGTCACAGGGGCATGAAGTTAGGGACTATGTCTCGTCTTTGGCCCGTTTCTCACAGAGTCTCTCTCCCTCCCCTTCCTTACTGCCCACCCTTCTTCCTCTTTCCTTTCTGGCTGCCAAGAGGTGGGTAGCTTTATCCCTCCAGGCCTTCCTGCTGTGCTGTTTCTGCCTTAACACAGGCCCAGACACAATGGAGCCATGGGCTGCAAAAACCACAAGCCGAAACAAACCTTTCCTCCTTTAAATGGTTATCCTGGAGTATTTTGTCACAGCAACAGAAACCTAACGGCGTTAAATAGTTTTTGTAGAGGCACAGCAACGCTCAAGTACTACTAGGTCTGAGAGGTCCAACAGGAGATTTTTTTTCGGGAAGCCAGGTCAGGGAGAGAGGAGAGAGGGAATAGAAGAATAAGGAAAGGGAATCTCCTTTCTCATGCAACACTGAGACAGGGTAACACATGCATTTCTGGAAGGACTTAACTCTTCAAAGGATAGCTCCAATCCCATTTCCCTGAAAAAGAGCAAACTCCATTGGGTTTCAGTGTCCCAAAAATCGGAAGCCGGGTCGGCAAAGGGGCCCCACCCATCGCTGTCCTTACCCAGAGCATCGAAGGCCAGGAGCACATCCATGTGGATGACATCACTGCTCTTCCTGGACCGGACCTGTAGGGTCAGGGAGAGAGGTTCTCTGGGTCCCCGACTGTGGTGAACCACAGTGATGTTGTAGGCCAGGCTTTCGCTACAGTGATCCAATCTCTCCTCAATGAAGTCGATGATGAATCCTCAGAGCAGTGCCTGCATTTGGAAGCTGGTAAAGCAGCTCAGGAACAGAACCATGTCCAGATCGGAGCTGTGGTCCAATGTTGTCCCTTTACCCATAGAGCCGCCCTGTGGAGGATGACAAGGCTGAGCCTTACTTTCATTGGTGGAGAGTAAAGCAGGAAGCCCTCATGGCAGGCTGTACACATGGGTGGCCCCAGATGATAGACCTTGGCTGCTGTCACACACGGTGGCCTTTGCTGTGGGCATTATGGGTGGAGTGCCTCTAACTGAAAACTCAAAATTTCAAAAGTGCTCCAAAGTCCAGAACTTTCTGAGTGTTCATGTGATACCAGCAGTGGAAAATGCCACCTGGAACCTCATGTGATATATCACAGTCAAAATGTAAAAATATTGCACATAAGAAATAAATAAATGAAAGGGCAGAACTAATGATAGAAAACAGGAAACAGGGGGACACATACTTTGCAGAAGGGAAGAGGTCCAACAGATGGAGAAAGGATGAGGAGGGGAGGGGAAGGCAATGAAAAAGAGTTACGATGCGTTATGTACGTATACCAGCTCCCCACGGAGCACGTAATCATTATGCACTGTAAGCATGGAGCAATAAAAATAAAAATTGAAAAATAAATTTAGACCAAAGCCGAGTGAAAAAAATACTACATTTATACAGATGCCATACTTAGACTTGGTATTGTCCCTGAGATGTCTCATTACGTGTATGCAAATATTCTAAAATCTGGGAAACAAATCCAAAATCCAAGCGCTTCTTTTTCCAAGCCTTTTGTGTAAGGGACACTCAACCTATACTACATCTTTTTATTGATTGATAACAATCAAATCCCAGTGAGCAATTCAGAAGCTAAAAATGAAACGCAAAACTCTGTTCTTCCCCAGCACCTTAATCCCGTCTCCAAAGGCAATCAGTTACCAGCACCTTACACAGTGTCCTTTAAATGTTCTACTCCAAGCCCTGCACTCTCCAACATGGTAGCCAGCAGCCACAGATGTCCTTTTAAACTTAAATTAATTGAAATGAAAAAAAAAACATGTTAGCTTTATTTCAAGTGCTCAGTGACTGCCCAAAGATAGTGGCTATTCAACTAGATAATGCACATATATAGCATTTCTAGCATTAAAGGAAGTCCTGTTGGACAGCTCTGGCTAAAAATATTTTTATGCGTGTATTTTGTACACATATATTTTATATATACAGAGGCATGGGTGTAGGTACAGATATTTTCTAGACTTTTTCCTTTGAAATAATACGATTTACAGGAAGTTGTAAAGATTGTAGAGAGGGGTTTGGTGTGTACTTCACCTAATTTTCCCAGTGGTTATATACCATTATTGGGAATTGAACACGTGGCCTTCATGCTGAGTTACATCCCCTGCTCCTTTTTCTTTAAATCTTAGAAGAGGGTCTCACTAAGCTACTAAGTTGCCCAGGCTGGGCTTGAACTTGGGACCCTCCTGCCTCAGCCTCCAAAAGTGCTGGGATTACAGGTACGTATTACTCTGCCAGTATGTCTTACATAAAATATAGTAGAATATTAAAACCAGAAGGTTACACTGATGCCCATCTAACCCTGTGTGTAGATTCCAGTGACAATCAAGGTACAGAATCATCATTGCAATCACCTCCTTTCCACCATCCTTGAACATGGGAAAACACTAATATGTTTTCCAGCTGTATAATCCTGTCATTCTCAGAATGTTGCATAGTTGTCCCTTGATATCCTAAGACTGGTTTCAGGATTTTCTTAGCTACCAAAGTCTGAGGATGCTCTTATCCCTTATATACAATGCTGTAGTGTTTGCATATCATCCATGTACAGCCTCCTGTACATCTCAATCTCTAGTTTACTTTTAATCCTAATACAGTGTAATGTGCACATAGTTGTTATACTGTATAATTTTATTATTACTATTATTATTGGTACTGGGTATTGAACTCAGGTCCTTGCGCTTGCAAGGCAGGCAGCGGAACCACTGAGCTAAATCCTTGGCCCTATTATTTTTTATTTTTGTAGCATTTTAAAAAAATTTTTTTTCCTCCAAAATGGTCAGCCCTTTGTATCTGTAAGTCCCACATAAGCAGATTAGATCAACTTCAGTTCAAAAATATTTGAATACTGTTCTGTCGAACAAGTACAGACTTATTTTTTGGCACCATTCCCTAAACAATACCACGTAACACTATTTACATAGTAAGGACATCATTGTAGGCATAAGTCATCTAGAGATGGTTTAAAATAAAGGTAAGGATGTACGTAGGTTATATAAAAACACTACATCACTTTATATAAGGGAGTTGAGCATCTTTGGATTTTAGTAACTTCAGGTATGGGAAGGGGTGCATGTTCCTGGAATCCATCCCCTTGTGGCCTTTTCAAATTGACTTTTCCTTCCTACTTTGCACAATGCTTTTGGTATCCACTTGTATTTTTGTGTGTCTTAATAGCTTGTTCCAACACAGTCACCCTAGTTTCCAGGATATTCAAGATTGGATTTCAATCCGTACTATTCTTGTTACATAATTTCAGAGTCCTGAAGTCCTGGCTGTTTGTTGTTTGTCCAGAGTTTTGGTTGTAATTTGTATGAGACGAGACAGAGTTTGTAAGATGTTTATTCCACCTTGGTGGCACCAGAAGTTTACAGTCTCTCATGAAATAAATACAAGCATATTAAATTAAATAAGCAGGAGGCCATTCGTTTGAGGCTCCCATAATTTGAGCTCCTACATACCAAACTGTAGTCTTAGGTGCATAAATAAACCAGGTCCTGATTTAAGGAGTATAACAAATGGCCAGGTTTCAACCAATCAGAAACAACTAAGCTTCAGCCAATCATCAGTCAGCCAACTGATCAGCCCATTCCCAAATAAGGGAAATGCCATATTGTATGCTGTGTATAGAAGGCAATGCCTGACAGTAGCCAAAACACGTGATTTCTCTACTTTGTTCCCGTGTTTGTCCCACTTTTATTGGCTTTTGCGTTTACTGCTCACTTGGGTAGCACTCTCTGAACCTCATCTGGTTTTGCATGAAAACCTTATTCACGAATCCTTTTTTTCTCAGGTATATTCTATCGAGTTTGACTTGTCTAAAGTTTTTTTTTTAGCAATATATAGGAAAGAAAATATTTTTTACTAATTTACAAACAAAAGTGTGGTCATAGTGCACTAAAATATGAATGATGCTTGTGTGTGAGCAGTAAGATCATTTTGTAAGGTTCTATATTTTCCTGGATCTTTGTGACTAAATGTGTTATCCGTGTAATTAAAACATCACAAAATAATATCGACTTTAGCTATGTAATTTCATTTATTTATTTATTTTTGAGACAGGATCTTGACATGTAGTTCAGGTTGGCTTTGAACTCATTACGCAGCTCTGGCTGGCTTTCCTTGATGATCCTCTGGCCTCAGCCTCCTGAGTGCTAGGATTACAGGTGTGTACCACCACACTGGGGTGTAACCTTAATTTAGACATTTGGTTCCTTGAGCATGTAGAAGAGTAAAAAGAAAGAAAGAAAGAAAGAAAGAAAGAAAGAATGAATATGGGGCTCAGATGGAGGTGGTGGTTAGGCACAGCAAGAGATGTCCATGCAAATATTACTATTGGTCCCTGAAGACTCTCTAGTCCACCCATGACAGGAAATCAAATGGATCAGCTATAGAAAAACACATCATTCTCACACCAGTATGGGTGGATAGATGAAACCAGGAAAAGTCAAGGTAACTAAAAAATGTAATGCTTGAATAGGCTAACAAAGGTAGAGAGAAAAGTGCATTGGGCCTCCTTCCTCTTAATACACAAATGAGGTGTCACATATATAAAATACTTAGCTATAGATACATTATCTATATCTATATATATCTCCTCATTGCTGGTAACTGGTAATATCACTGGTAACACACTGTTCATAACCGGTAAACTTAATTACCAATAAGGTCTTTAGTTGCAGTCTTTTTTTGGGGGGGGTACCAGGGATCAAACTCAGGACCTTGAGCTTGTGAGGCAGGTGGTGGCGCCACTGAGCTAAATCCCCAGTCCAGTTTCAGTCTTTGTTCTAGGCATTTTCTATGTTGCTTAAAATAGGTTATGATATAGCCATTTTAGGGGTACTTCAAATTCTGAAAACAGATGGTTGAGAGCAAGAGGAAAGGTGAAAATACATTTCTATCTTGTACAAAGATGGTCTTTAAGTAGTGCATACACCTGTAAAGGTAGGAATAGGAACTTCGAGATGTGGACATTTGGAGTAACATAAATGGACAGATCCTACTGAGACAACACATTCCAATCTGTAGAAGCTTCATTTAGGATGTATGTTAAAGCCCTTGAGCACTTTCAGACCCATCCCTAAGACAAACATGCATCTCATTTCTGGTTCTGTTAGGGATTTCAAGTTTTTCTTTTTGATTCAGAGAATGTGTGAGCAAAGATGGTGATACAGTAGAGATACAGTAGAGCAAGTTCAGAGGTGTGGAGGAGTTAAGAGTTGAGAGGTGCAAATAGTGAATGTAACTGTACCATATACCTAAATGTACCAATAAACTCAATAAAAATAATGAATGTAACTGTACTGTATAACTAAAATGTACCAATAAATTCAATTAAAAAAAGCGAGTTGAGCTCAAAGTTCGATCTTTTTAAGCAACTATAGGGCGCGGACTTTCTGTTTTTGAATGCTCTCCGAGCCTTCCAGCCCTTCCCGCTCAGTCTTACTGTCTGCAGCCCTAATTACCGCTCGGCTCAGCCTGGTTTGCTTAAGTTAATGTGCAATACCTTTCATTCTAGGAAAGTGAACAAATCTAGGCTTATGGTCCAAGCACTTTTCATCCAGAACGGTATATGAGAAGTTGAATTATAATTTAGTACCTTCCCAGGAGAAACCATGCTTATAAATAGGTGTTTAATTAAATCCCTAGAAACTCCTCTTCTGGTATTACTAACTGCTCGGTAGTTTCTGACGTAAGCAGTCAGTATCACTTGTGAAGGAAAATATAGGAGCTTTTTTTCATGACTTTATAGGTAAAGTGAGGTTTCGTAAGCAAGAAGTTAAAAAGCATAAACCTGCTATCCGCATTCTGTCTGACTCCTTGACAAATCATCACCTCCTTCCTCCCCCTCCCCCTCCCGCTTTGAGGAATCATTTGCTACATAAGAGCATTTTCCTACGCTTTAACCCATTCATTAGTTTCACGAAATTCAGGTGAAAGGGGGAAACTGAGGCTCAGAGACGCAAGGTCCCACAATCCCACAAAAGCAGGGCTGGGCTTCGAGCCCCGGGATCGTGAGCGCTCACCTTCACCACCTTCAGCACCTTGACTTCTTGGTCCAAAACCAGCTGATCTCGGAAGCAAAGATCCCGGAAGAACCTCTCCACTCGCTGCCAGGCATCTTGCGCATCTTCCTTCCAGTCCCCCTGGGGCTGAAGACTGTGCTCTAGGAAGGCGTCCAGCCTGTCCCCAGGGGTTGCATACAGGTCCGGTGAGAGGTTCATCTCTGCAGGACCGGTGTCCCGTCACTGCCCAGCTCTATAAGGGACGCCTTCCAACTTTTTCCAGCAGCTAAACAATTGCGCAGGGGTCCGGAGACAGAACACGAGACTGGGATTTACCCTCCTCGGTTTATGCTTGTGGAGAGAAGAGGATTGCACTGACTATGGCAGCACATCGCTCCTCCCTCCTGAGTTCTGTAAGCTCGGTAGCCAACCTTCCGGCCAGATTGTAAATGAAACAGTGCTTTCAAAAGAATCGAAACTGAAACTTGAAACTGTGGAGACTATTTTCTCCCAAAGGCTGTTAAGGATGCAGCCCAGTCTCCACCAGGGGTGTCTGTCTGGGAATTCCCAGAGCATCCCAGAGCTGTTCCCCCTCCCTAAACCCCTGGGAGCTGACTACTTGAGGTGAGAGTGTGGCAGCTTGGCTGTGCTTAATTGAGGAGCCCTGAGGCAAGATAATCACAGCCTTTGTTCCTTGTGTTGTCCCTTTTCTCATTCTAGGTGATCCTTCTGTCCCGAGCAGGGAGCAAGGACAGTAATAATAGGAAGACGCTGGTAGCCTTTTTAGATGCTTTAATCACACAGTACACATCTCCTAACTACCGCCCCATCAGTTGCCACTCCCTGTACCTGCACACATCGGAGGAGCGCGACTTTCTTCTCCTGTAAGGTGATTCGCGGTCTTGGCTGTGACCTAGTGCAAGATCACATATGCGGCCAGTGGCCACCAAGTGTCTGGGCCACTGAGTGTGACGAGCTGGTCTTCTGCGCTCTCTCCTTTATACTAAATTCTAGGGCTGTGTGGCACTGATTCAGGCTTATCTATCTATTACACATCAGGCAGGGTTTACAGATGGTCAAGGGTATTACATCACTTCACTCAGGAGGGTCTTACAAGTGCTTATCATATCAGGGAGCAACTCCTACACACACACACACACTTACACTCACTCTGCATGGGTCCTGCATGGGCTCTCCCCACTTATCAGTCTTGTTCAGTCATGGCCTCTGTCAGGGCCTTCTTTGTCTCTCTTAATTAGTTTTGGTTTGGAATCTATTCTGTTTGTTTGGAATCTATCATATATGATAGCTACCCCTAATTTTTTCTGGGCTCTGGTCACATGGAGAACTGTTTTCCATCCTTTTACTTTCAGTCTATGAATTTCTTTGTGGATTAAGTGGGTTTCTTATACACAGCATATTGTTGGATTTGGCTTCTTAATCCATTCTGCCAGCCTGTTTCTTTTGATTGGGGAACTGAGGCCATTAACATTGATGGTTATAACTGTTATGTATTGACTTTTCATTGTTATATTATTTTCCTGTTGCTAGTTCTTTATTTTTTATTTTTCCCCCTCTCTTTAATTTCTTGCCTTGCCTGGTATATTTGCTCTGTTAGCCCTTATGGAGTTGTGGTCTTCATTTTCTTTTTCCAGGGCATTGTTTAGAAGTGTTTAGAGTGCTGGTTTGGTGTTTATGAAATTTCTCAGGTGTTCCTTGTTGTGGAAGTATCTTATTTCCCCATCAATTTTGAAAGATAATTTTGTAGGCTACATCAGTTTAGGTTGGAGGTTGTTTTCTTTTAGGACTTTAAATACCTCACTTCAGGCTCTCCTTGACTTGAAGATTTATGTTGAAAAGTCTCCTGTGATTCTGATGGGCTTTCCTTTGCATGTGGTTTGTTTCTTTTCTCTAACTGCTTATAGTATTTTGTTCTTCTGTTGGGTTTCTGGGATCTTGATTATTATATGTCTAGGTGTAGATTTTTTTTGATTGTAGCTAGTTGGGGTCCTATATGCCTCAGTTATCTGAATGTCAAATTCTCCCCCTCTGTTTGGGAAGTTTTCTGTCATCAATTTTGTGAACAGTTTTTTTTATGTTATTTTAACTTTCTCCTGCTACTTCATGGATAAGTCTTATATTATTCTTCTTTGCATTATCTAAGAGTTGTTGGCTTGATTTCTCATGGTCCCTTACTGATTTTAAGAGATCTCTCTTTTCAAGGTCATTGACCACAATCCTATCTCCTATATCTGAAATTATATCTTCACATTCATTCATCCTGCAGCGAATGCTTTCTAGAGTTTTTAATCTCCTGGATATCTGTTTAAATCTGTTTCATGGATTCAATTTCTTTCCTAAATTGGGCATTCAAGGTTTTCATTTCTTTCCTATGCTGGGCATTCGTGGTTTCCATCATGGTCCTGAGCTCATCTACTTTAAAAAAATCTGTTTCTGTCCTAGAGTCTCTAATCAAGTCTTCCATTCTTCTCAACATCTTTGTGGTTGTCTTGGAAATTATTTCTGTTTTGAATTTTTCTAGAGCCTAATTTATCTATTTTTTTTACTTCCTGTGCTATTGGTTCAGGGTGTCCAGATGGTTGGCTGTCAGCCCTTTCTACCTCATTTCCCCCAGAGTTTACCTTTGGTGAGCTGGAAGTCTGTGTTTGTGTCTTGTTTAAATGCCTTCTCATTTCTATTTTTGTCATTGGTCCTGTCCTTGGTTTAATTCCTAGGTTAATACTTCAATCTTCCAGATATAGCTAGTCTTTAGGTTTTGAGTCTTAATATCTCTGAGGCAATCTCATTTTCATTATTTCAGGGAGGACAACTGAATAGATCAATTACAACACCTTAGCCCAAGTGATACAATCAGCAACACAATAGCATCAAGCACAGCTTAGAAAATGGCAATTTATGGTAGTTATTAATCTGTTACCTTTAACTGTGTGAATTAAATCAAAATTGAGGACCAGCCCAAAGTGTGTTTATAGTGAGTAAACTTTTCAGTATAGCAACTTTACCCTTCAGGATGGGGATTTAGAAGGAGTTGGGGAGGGAAGGATAGATAGGATAGAGAAAGGTTAGAAGTGAGGTCAACGTAATGAATCCACCAGGAAAGGCAAGTAATTAAACAGAAGGAAAACATTGGAAAAAAAGGAAATTAAGCAACAGAAAAATAAGGATAAAACAAGGATAAGCCAATACATTATCAGTCAATAACCATCAACATAAATAGTCTAAATTCACCAATCAAAAGAAATGGACTGGCAGAATGGATCAAGAAATTAGATCCAACAATATGCTGCATACAAGAAACACATTTAATTGAAAAAGAAATTCTTATATTTTAATTTTTATTCAAAGGATGGAAAACAATATTCCATGCAACGGGAACCAGGAAAAAGGCAGAATAGCTCTTTTATTGGCAGAAATATTGGATTTCACATTTGATCTTGGCTAAAAGGCCAAGAAACAATGACAAATTGGATTGCAATCCAGGACTGTTCAAAACAGTCAAAAAATATCACTGTGCCCTTGTAAATGAAACACTCAAAGAGGAAGAGACAACAATCATAAATATATATGCTTCAGATACTGATGCACTCAGCTGTATAAGACAAAAATTAATGGACATGAAAAACCTAGTAAGCACTAACACAGTTGTAATAGAGAATCTTGTTGGGAGAATTTCTATATAAATTTTGGGGAATATCATTTCATAATTAGGGTATGACTATAGCTGTCTAAGTTCCAATGTTGCCTTGCCTGATAGCCGGCTATGACATGCAGAAATATAACTCCATTTTACCTTCAGTCACAGAGGAGGCCTCAGTGGTCCATGAAGCTGTGGAGCTCAATGACAAGATTACATCAGCTGAAGACATCCTGGTTCCTTGAGAACCAAGTAGTAATACAAAAGAGAAAGGTTTCACCTGGGGAGGGACAAGATTTGCATTGACATAGGATTACTGCTGCCCCTCAAGTCACTCAATACTCCCTCCAATTATTATGTGCACCCAATAAATAGTGGCTAGCTCAGAGAGTCTTTGTCTTTGCCCATTCTGAAGCACTGACCTCCTGGCCCCTCATATACTTTGAAATTATGCAAGTCTCTATTGTCTTTTTTTTTTTTTTTTTTT